CAGCCTCAGGAGAGACAGAAAGCAGATAAACATCCTCATGTTGGCCTCCAAAGCCCAGAGGAAAAAAAAGGGAGAACAGTAGTAGTTCAAGAAGCCACACTAGAGGCCACTGATCACCATCACCTCGGCACCTCTCCTCCGTCTGTCCCTCTTCAAGTGAGGACCAGACTCAGGGAACAGCACCTGCACCTCCCCCTCTGTCCCCACACTGCACAGGGAGCCTCCTTCTGCTCTCATCTCAAGGTGGCTGCTCCCCCAGGTTAGCCGTGTCACTGCTGAGAGTCTTCCGTCAGTCCTGGTTCCAGGGTCTGGGGTCAATGGCAAACTGGCTTTTACTCTGCTGTGACCCTGACCCTTCAAAAGCCGGTTAAACTATAAAAGCCATAACTGAGCTCTCCTACTTTACCCAAACTTTAGATTCTTCTTCTCAGTGTCCTTCTAGAAAGTGCTGTCTATACCCAATAATATCATGTTATTTCCTCAGGTCTAGAGCCATTTCATTTCCAAAATTCTATACTCACACTTATGTTCTCATTTCCTGTCATGGCTCATTTTCCACTCAGCAGCTAATGATGCCAACCATGTATCTACAGGCCATTGTCACAAAAAAGAGAGATGGGAGGGTTCTTAAATAAATGGAGGGTTAGCAAAGAAAAGTTTCACTACCTCTTAGGAATTCCTCCAAGATCTAAGAAAATTAATTCCAGAGCTTCAAGAGTTTACTCCTCAGAAACAACAGCATGAATATATTCAGTAGCGAATGTTCTTGGTCTTCTCAATGAATAACCTCTGATAGGCCCAGAGTATATGTGTCAAAAAGATAATTGTATAACTTTCAGAAAGATGTATTATTAAATTACATCAACAATTTTAATCAGAATGCATATTTCTGAAAAAAGAAAAAGCAGCATGATGGTAAAAAAAAAAAATGTAAAGAAAGCCTTTTAAAAACACAGTACTTATAGTCCGTGAGGATAGCACCTGTGGGGCAAATTTTCTTTGCTGAAGATGCACTGTGTTTTTGAATAATAGCAAGATAGCATTGAATATGTCTTCTTTCACAGCAATCTAAAAATTAACACGATCCCATTTGTATGAAATATCTAGAAATATACCTGTACATGTGGACATTCCCATCACACACCTCCCATCCAGGCTCTCCTAAGGTGGAATCTCCTCTTTTTCTGCCCAACCAGTGAACAAGCTCCTGGACTTGGGGAATAAAAGTACATCTTCTTGGATTTCTGAGGACTTGCCCTGCCAGGGTGCCTTTCTCAATCACAGTCGCTCCTTCCTGGGAATCCACTTCTCCTAGATCCTGTTGTTTATCTAATGTTATTCATTTGTATCTACCTCGTGGACTTCTGTACATCTTCACCTGAAACCCAGGAATCTTCAAGTCATGCCCATATTCCCTTCGTTCTCCTGTACTCCCTTCTTCCATCTTTCCCTAGGATGCCACCTAGTCGAGATCTCTTCTCAGACCCTGGAGCGCAGCAGGGACTTCTCTGATCTCTGCCCCAGGGATTAAGAGGGTGGAAGGGGGGACTCCTGTGCCCCTCCTATGCCTGTGTTTTCATCAGGGCAGCTGCACAAGGTAGGGATTAGGCTGTCTAGATCAACATGGCATTTCCAACACTGCGCTCTATGCCCAGCAAAAGATACATGCTCAGCAACTATTTGACAGAGACCTTCCTCTTATCACATGGGCCACATTATACTGGCCCCAGGATGGGGCTGACCTGGGAGAGGTAGCTGTGGACCTGCTCCTCACTCTGCCCTCACCCTAAGAGCTGATAGGGCATCCACCAGGAAGGGCATTCCTGGGCAGGGAGGGGGTCATGGGCAGCCTTGTCCTTTATGTGAGGCACGGCTCAGCCTGGTCACAAGATCCAGATGACTATGACTGCAATTCTGGGGAAGTAGAGAATGAAGATTGACCAGAATAACCCTCTGGGAATGTTCCCTGGGCATCCTAGAGGGAAGAGCTTCCCTTCTACTCAGTGCTGTAGGATCCACAGAGGGAGAGCTCTGGCCACCAGGGAGGAGCCACATGAGAGGACACGGTGTCCCCACACATGGGAAAGTGAGTCCATGAAAGTCGGTCCCTGGTCTGGGTTTGATTCTGACCTATGAGGACATTGTGTAGTCACCACCTGAGTCCTCTATAATAAACAGTGAGAGCGCCGCAGACAGATTCACTTCTAAGGAGGTCAGTAAAGTGGGAGAACTGCCCTGAGGTCACAGGGAGAAGACACAAGCACCACCTGGCCTGGCCCTGAGCCGGGGCATTGGACAGAACAGCGGGGAGGCAGCGGTGTCTCTGGAGGCTCTGGTCACCTTATCATACAACGGTTTGTCTTGGTCTGGACACCAGGGGGCGCTTGGGGACCATTCCTGAGAAGACTGGGGGCGATCAGAGCAGAACCAGCCACCTGCCCTGCCTGGTGTCCTCTGCTCAGAGCTCAGAGCTGCATCCTCCCCACCCACTGGGACCACACAGCCCTGCCCCTGCCACCCGCTGACATCCTCAGGCATAGGGACCTGACCCAGGACCCAGGGTGGGATTAGAAAGCTGGGGGTCTGATTTGCATGGATGGACCCTCCCACTCTCAGAGTATGAAGAGGGGCAGGGAGAGATTTGGGGAAGCTCTGCTTCAGCTGTGGGCACAGGAGGCAGCACTCAGGACAGTCTCCAGCATGGCCTGGTCTCCTCTCCTCCTCACCCTTCTCATTCACTGCACAGGTGACTGGATACAGGTCCAGGGCAGGGGCCCTGGGAAGCCTATTGATGATTGGTTTCTCCTCTTGTCTCTAGAAGCAGAATCATGATGCCTGTGTCTCTCCCACTTCCAGGGTCCTGGGCCCAGTCTGTGCTGACGCAGCCGCCCTCAGTGTCTGGGGCACCCGGGCAGAGGGTCACCATCTCCTGCACTGGGAGCAGCTCCAACATCGGGGCGGGTTATTATGTGCAGTGGTACCAGCAGCTCCCAGGAACGGCCCCCAAACTCCTCATCTATGAAAATAATAAGCGACCCTCAGGGGTTACTGACCGATTCTCTGGCTCCAAGTCTGGTACCTCAGCCTCCCTGACCATCACTGGACTCCAGTCTGAGGATGAGGCTGATTATTACTGCCAGTCCTATGACAGCAGCCTGAGTGCTCACACGGTGCTCCAGGCCCGGGGGAATCTGAGACAAGAACCCCCTTCCTCCTCTACCAGGAGGGTGAGCACTCAGCTGATGCTGCTCAGGCGTGGCCTGTGGCTTCTGCTGCTGCAGTTTCCCCATGGTCCAGGGGTATCCAGGGCCCTGCCTCAGAATAGAGACTTCTCTTTTTTTCTGTTCTGAGAATCATGCACAGCAGCTCCTTCCTAGGAACAGGGCCTCCAGGGAACAGAACACCCAACTCTTTGTACCTTGGGGTACAGGGCCTCCAGACTGAAGTCCTGGGCTGAGGTGATAGGTCCAGCTGTGTCATTACAGACCTAACTCTGATGCAGAACCTGTGTCTCCATCATCCTCATTTCCTGATTTCTAGAAGTTCCCAGACTGTTGGCTTTCTGTCCCTGCTTCTCAGGGTGAATCCCTTGGCTTCTTTCCTCACCAGCCCATTCTTTTTAATAAAACCCTTTCCAAGGAGGAATAATGTACATATGACAAAACACGTATATTTCTAATATGCCATTGCACCCATGTTGGCATGTTTCTGGATCCTTGAAAGCATCACCACCACCGAGCTATGCAACCTGTGACCAACCCCAGCAGCTCCTCATGACCCTTTGTCATCACCCTTTCTACCCCAGTGCCCTCCCGGGAAGCCACAGATCTTCCTCTGTCATTAGCGTTTGGTTTTCATTTGTGGAATGCATCAGAGTTCTCAAACGTTATCTTGCCATTTGTTGAGGCTTCTTTCACTCTGCACACTTGTTTTGAGATTCTCCCTGTTGTTGCTGAATTGCATCTCATCCCATAAAGGGTTCATTAGTACCTTTCAGGGTCCCCAGCCACTTTGCCTTTCATGCCCGTTCCTGCCTTTGTATATACACACATATATAACCCAGGGTAGCCTATATTCCCTTTTCTCTGATTTTTAAAAATTCAATACATTTCCTGGGGCCCCTAACAGTATTGGGTCCTGTAGGTATTTAATGTTCTCTCTCTGGTGATTCTCAGCCCTGCTTGCATCTTATGCTATTACATACTCACTTCTCGCCATTATTCAACCATTTTGTTTTATTCTCTTGGTTTTAAATAGGTAATACACAAATAAGATGCCTCATGAGAACTATGGAAAGCACCTCCCCCTCCTACATCCTGTCTCCTGGCCTGTTGGTTTCTGTCAGCTGAAGTGACCAGGGGTGCTGATACTTATGTTCCCTCCCAGCCAGGGTCGGTGTGTAGAAACCAGGGTGTCTGTCTGTGTCTGTGTGGGCAACCACACTATGTTTTCTTTGGTACAACTACAGCCTTACTATTGACAAACAACTTTTTAATTGCTGAGACTGTGACTTCATGTAATCCTGACAACAGCTCTATTATTGCTTTTCAGGCAGTGGTCCTGATTGCAGAGGAAGTGTTTGTGGCCTGGAGACGGTGTTTTCTAATTTATCGAACATAAACACTGGAGGTCAGTTAAATTTGAATTCAGTAAAACAGTGATGAAGAATTGATATGTAGGCTGGGTGCTGTGGCTCATATCTTAATCCTGGCACTTTTGGAGCCAAGGTTGATGGATTGCTTAAGGCCAGGAGATCGAGACAAGTCTGACCAACGTGGTGAAACCCCATATCTCCTAAAAACACAAAAATTAGCTGGGCCTCATGGCATATACCTGTAACCCCAGTGACTCAGGAGGTTGAGGCATGAGAATCACTTGAACCCAAGAGGCAGAGGTTGCAGTGAGTTGAGACCGGTCCACTCACTCCAGGTGGAGTAACAGAGTGACACTCTGACTCAAAAGAAACAAACAAACAATCAGTATATGTATCTCCCAGACAATATTATGTATTTAAGTATAAACATAACTGGGTGCCCTTTAATCGATCTGGTAACTCCACACAGTGTCACAACCTAGAAGAGGCATAGCTGGGGCAGGCCTCCCCTTACTGATGCTGGGTCTAGGGGCTTAACTACAAATGCAGAGCTTCTCTAAGAAAGCTACACTCAAGTGGGCACACCAGTTAGCATGTAATACATGTAATATAACTCCCAGTGAATGATGCCTACTCACTTCTCTAATTATTCTTTTTATTATCCTTCAAGTCTGCAGATTCAGGGCCTCCCCAGGGGTTGCTTCAGCCTGAGCTCTGGAGAAGTGATTTCACGTCCTGTCACACCCAGATGCATGGGGCTGCTCAGTCCCCACACACAGGGGATTCAGCCAGGGGTGCATAAGTAACATGTGAGAGACAGGAGAGCTCAGCCTGCCTCTGCCTATGTCTAGTGAGAGACCAACTTCGGTTTCATTTGATGCCGGAGACTGGTGAGCTGAGAGCAGAGGAGAGACCAACGTTAGAGTGCAGAGCTTTCAGGAGACAAATTGGGAACCTGGAAATGGGCCACACTCTTGAGTGAGGACGAAGCAGGCAGCTGTGGGCACAGCCCTGCATTCCTAGTGGCTTCCCCTTCATCAAGCTGGGCTCCCTGCTCCGACGTCTGTCGGGGAATCTACTTCAGGAAGGTTGAGATCTCAGGACTTTACTACAAATAGCAGTAGATCAGGCAGGTATGTCATGGTTCAAGAGTTCTATGCACAGCAATAAGTACAGATGCATATTCACAGGGGCCCTCGCAGTTGTCTCTTTTGGAGTGGAAGAAATGAAGAAAGGCAGGGAGAAACTGAAAGACTCAGTGGGTCTGGGCCTGGGGCAGCACTGGATGTTGTGGGCTTATCCCTGAGAGGTCTGCAGGTGACCATAGCTGGGAAGCCAGCCCCTGCTGTGACCCTGTGTCATCTGCTCACTGCTCACTGAGCTCAGCAGCTGTGTCTTCACAGGAAACTGGGTGCAGCCAGCTTGGCCTTCTCCACTCCGACTGGAAAATGCAGGCAGGTGACTGTCAGGATTGAGATCCTATGAAGGGTCCGGAGACAAGGGAAGGGGGCTGATTTGCATGAAGCAATCATTCCGCACTTTAAGAAAACTAAATCCCATTAATAGAAATTCTGGGGCCATCCAAACCTGATCAATCTAAAAGAGGGTTTATCAGTTGGAGGTGGTCAGAGTGAGGAAGAAACTGGCTTCCCTGAAAGAGTCATCAACACAGCCACCAACTCTGGGACAAATGGCGTGACTCCCTGTAACTGTCACCCCATATTACCCACAGGAGACTGAGCCTAGCCCCTCACCCTATTGTTTCTGATTCTGGTCCAGTCCCCTGTTGTTCCTGGACCCTTTGCCTGTGTCTGAATCCAGGGTGGCAGGGGTAGCCCCATCTCAGTCAACATCTGTAGAGAGGTAACAGCTACTATGGCTTCAAGCAGAGTTCTCAGTTTTACCCGTGAGGGCCTCTTTTGCTTCCCCACCCTCTCACACAGGTGACTACTGCTGTGGGTCTGGTGGAGTGGCCCCTGGCCTCTGAAGGACACAACGTATTCCTTCCTCTCTAACACCAGGCATATAGTGGAGAAGGTATGGGTGGGTGTAGAGCAGACTGGCTTTTCCAGATGCAAAGCAGTAAGACCCTGGCTACAGAAAAATTATTTCACAAAACCCCACACCCTTTCATGACAAAAACACTCAGTGAATTATGAATAGAAGAAAATTACCTCAACATGGTAAAGCCTATCTATGAAGCTCCCACAGCTAGCATCATATGCAATCTGAAAGACTGAAGATATTTCCTGTAATTTCAGGAGCAAAGCAAGGATGTGCACTTTCACCACTTCTATTCCAAATAGTATTGGAAGACCTATCCAGAGCAATCAGCCAAGAAAAAGAAATAAACAGAAAGGAAATTAGAAATGAAAAAGGAAAACAATCTCTGTTTTCAGATGACATAATCTCATATGGAGAAAATCCATAAAATTTCCACCAAAATAACAAACTCTTCTGAGCAAATGGACCATGTTCTAACCCAATGCAGGGAAGCTAAGAACCTTGATAGAAGGTTACAGGAACTGCTAACTGGAATAATCAGTATAGAGAGGAACATAAATAACCTGATGGAGCTGAAAAAGGCAGTAGAAGAACTTTGTGAAGCATACACAAGTATCAATAGCTGAACCAAACCAGTGGAAGAAAGTATACTAGAGATTGAAGATCAACTTAGTGAAATAGGTGTGAAGACAAGATAAGAGAAAAAGGAATGAAAAGGAATGAACAAAGCCTCCAAGAAATAAGGGACTATGTGAAAAGACCAAACTTACAATTGATTGCTGTACCATAAGTGAAGGGGAGAATGGAACCAAGTTGGAAAACACACTTCAGGATATTATCTAGGAGAACTTCCCCAACATAGCAAGACAGGCCAACATTCAAATTCAGGAAATACAAAGAGCATCACTAAGACACTCCTCGAGAAGAGCAAGCCCAAGACACATAATCATCAGATTCACCAAGGTTGAAATGAAGGAAACAATATTAAGTGCAGCCAGAGAGAAAGGTCAGGTTACCTACAAAAGGAAGCCCATCAGACTAACAGTGGGTCACTCTGCAGAAACCCTAGAAGCCAGAAGAAAGTGGAAGCTAATATTGAACATTCTTAAGGAAAAGATTTTCCAACCCAGAATTTTATATCCAGCCAAACTAAGCTTCATAAGTGAAGGAGAAATAAAATCCCTTACAAATCAGCAATTGCTGAGGGATTTTGTCACCACCAAAGCTGCCTTACAAGAACTCCTCAAGGAAGCACTAAATATGGAAAGGAAAAACTGGTACCAGCCACTGCAAAAACACACCAAAATGGTCTCCTCTTCCCCTCAGTGATGCTATGAAGAAACTGCATCAAGTAATGTGCAAAATAACCAGTTAGAATCATGATGACATAATGAAATTCCCACATAGTAATATTAATTTTAAATGTAAATGGACTAAATGCCCCAATTAAAACACACATACTGGCAAATCGGAAAAAGAGTCAAGACCCATTGTTGTGGTACATTCAGGAGATCCATCTCATGTGCAAAGACACACATAGGCCCAAATTAAGGGAATGGAGGAATATTTACCAAGCAAAGGGAAAGCAAAAAAAAAAAGTGGGGTTTATCTAGTCTCTGATAAAACAGACTTTAAATTAATGAAGATCAAAAAAGACAAAGAAGGCCATTATGTAATGGTAAATGGATCAATGCAACAAGAAGAACTAACTATGCTAAATATATATGCACCCAATACAGGAGCACCAAGATTCAAAAATCTTGAATCTTGGTGTTCTTAGAGACCTGCAAAGAGACTTAGACTCCTAGACAACAATAGGGGGAGTCTTTAACACCCCAATGTCAATATTAGACAGATCAATGAAACAGAAAATTAACTAGGATATTCCATCCTTAGAAAACCCCATTATCTCAGCCCAAAAACTCCTTAAACTGATAAGCAACTTTAGCAAAGTCTCAGGATACAAAATCAATGTGAAAAATTCACAGGTATTCCTGCACACCAGGAATAGACAAGCAGACAGCCACAACATGAGTGAATTCCCATTCCCAATAGCTACAAAGAAAACAAAATACCTAGGAATACAACTTACAAGGATGTGAAGGACCTCTTCAAGGAGAACTACAAACCACTGCTCGAGGAAATAAGAGAGGACATGAACTCAGCTGTGGACCCAGTGGACCTATAGATATGTACGGAACTCTTCACCCCAAATCAACAGAATATACATTCTTCTCAGTGCCACATAGCACGTATTCTAAAATCACCCACATACAGCACATATTCTAAAATCACCCACATAATTGGAAGTAAAACATCCTCTGCAAATACAAAAGAATGGAAATCATAACAAACACTCTTTCAGACCACCAAGCAATCAAATTAGAGCTCAGGATTAAGAAACTCACTCAAAACCACAGAACTACATGGAAATTGAACAACCTTCTCCTGAATAACTACTGGGTAAATAATGAAATTAAGACAGAAATTAAAAAGTTATTTGAAACCAATGATAACAAAGAGAGAACGTACCAGAATCTCTGCGACACAACCAAAACAGTGTGTAGAGGGAAATTTATAGCACTAAATGCCCACATTGGAAAGCAGGAAAGATCTAAAATTGACACCCTAACATCACAATTAAAAGAATTATAAAAACAAGAGCAAACAAATTCAAAAGCTAACAGAAGATAAGAAATAAATAAGATCAGAGCAGAACTGAAGGAGATAGAGACATGAATACCCTTCAAAAAACCAACAAATCCAGGAGTTGGTTTTTTTTTTGAAAAGATTGACAAAATAGATAGACCACTAGCTAGACTAATAAAGAAGAAAAAAAAGAAGAATCAAATAGACAAAATAAAAAACATAAAGGGGATATCACTACTGATCTCCCAGAAATACAAACTAGCATGAGAAAATACTACAAACACCTCTATGCAGATAAACTAGAAAATCTAGAAAAATGGATAAATTCCTGGACACACACACCCTCTCAAGACTAGATCAGGAAGAAGCTGAGTCCCCGAATAGACCAATAACAAGTTCTTGTATTGAGGTAGTTATTAATAGCCTACCAACCAAAAGAAGCCCAGGACCAGAGGGACTCACAGCTGGATTCTACCAGAGGTACAAAGAGGAGCTGATACCATCCCTTCTGAAACTATTCCAAACAATAGAAAAAGACTCCTCTCTAACTGATTTTATGAAGCCAGCATCATACTGATACCAAAATCTGACAGAGACACAACAACAACAACAAAAAAAACAAAAATGAAAATTTCAGGCCAATATCCATGATGAACATTGATGCAAAAATCCTCAATAAAATATTGGAAAACTGAATCCAGCAGCACATCAAAAATCTTACCCAATACAATCAAGTTGGTTTCATTGCTGTGATGCAAGTCTGGTTCGACATACACAAATCAATAAATGTAATCCATCACATAAACAGAACTAAAGACAAAAACCACATGATTATCTCAATAGATGTAGAAAAGACCTTTGATAAAATTCAACATCTCTTCATGCTAAAAACTCTCAATAAACTGAGTGTTGATGGAACATATCTCAAAACAATAAGAGCAATTTATGACAAACCCATAGCCAATATCATACTGAATGAGCAAAAGTTGGAAGCATTCCATTTGAAAATCACCACAAGAAAAGGATGCCCTCTCTGACCACTTCTATTGAACATAGGATTGGAAGTTCTGCCAGGGCAACCAGGCAAGAGAAAGAAAGAAAGCATATTCGAATAGCAAGAGAGGAAGTCAAATTGTCTCTGTTTGCAGATGACATGATTGTTTAGTTAGAAAACCCAACCATCTCAGCCCAGAAACTCCTTAAGCTGATAAGTAACTTCAACAAAGTCTCATGATACAAAATCAATGTCCAAAAATCACAAGCATTCCTACACACCAGAAATAGACAAGCAGAAAGCCAAATCATGAGTGAACTCTCATTCACAATTGCTACAAAGAAAATAAAATGCCTAGGAGTACAACTTACAAGGGACTTGAAGGATCTCGTCAATGAGAACTACAAACTACTGCTGAAAGAAATAAGAGAGGACACAAATGAATGAAAAGACATTCCATTCTCATGGATAGGAAGAATCAATATGATGAAAATGGCCATATTGCCCAAAGTAATTTATAGATTCAATGCTATTCCCGTCAAGACACCACTGACTTTTTTTGCAGAGTAGAAAAATACCACTTTAAATTTCTTATGGAACCAAAAAAGAGCCCATATAACCACCACAATCCTAAGCAGAAAGAACAAAGCTGGAGGCATCACACTACCTGACTTCAAACTACACTACCAGGCTACAGTAGGCAAAACAGCATCATACTGGTACCAAAACATATATATATATATACACACACACACACACACACACACACACACATATGTACACATATCTATATATATACACATACACCAATGAAACAGAACAGAGACCTGAGAAATAACACCACACATCTACAACCATCTGATCTTTGACAAACCTTACAAAAACAAGCAATGGGGAAAGGATTCCCTATTTAATAAATGGTGCTGGGAAAACTGGTAGCCATAGGCAGAAAACAGAAACTGGACCACTTCCTTATACCTTATACAAAAATTAACTCAAGATGGATTGAAGACTTAAATGTAAAACACAAAACCATAAAAACCCTACAAGAAAACCTAGGCAATACCATTCAGGACGTAGGCATGGGCAAATACTTTATGACTAAAATACCAAAAGCGATGGAAACAAAAACTAAATTGACAAATGGGATCTAATCAAACTAAAGAGCTTCTGCAGAGTAAAAGAAACAATCATCAGAGTAAACAGGCAACCTTCAGAATGGGGGAAAATTTTTGCAAGATACCCTTTTGACAGAGGTCTAGTATTTAGAATCTGCAAGGAACTTAAACAAATTTATGAGAAATAAACAATCTCATCAAAAAGTGGGCTAAGGATATGAA